AACTGTCACTCTAAGTGCCATGACTTACGTCTGAAGAACTCGTTGAGGGCTGATTGATTCATCGTAAGTTGGCAAAGTCCAGGCTTCGTTACCATGCTGTAGCGTTCCACGCTTGCTTTGAGTATTCTTATGGATTAAAGCGACGTGGCCATGTTCAGTACCAAAATAGATTGAGGTTCCGTTGGTATTGGCGTACAATGCGGTTACGTGGCTGGCAACATCGGCAAATGTATTTTCCGTTGAATTTTCATCTGCGTCAACTCTGCGCTGTTCGAGGCCTTGTGTGACGGCGCTGAGATGACAGATCTGCTTAACGCAGGGCTGAGTGCCGTCCACCGACTCCAGTTGCCAGATATAAATGTCATCTCGGTCACTTAGAGTTAACAATTTTCCCTAAAGCACGTTAGCAAAACGAATTCGAAACGTACCGTTCCACTCAGAAACATGATGTTGATTATTTCAGAGGCGTTCTGGTGTGATCCAATGTAAACTATACCCGGCTTGCCATAGCTGTACGAGGAGTTAGGGAATGACCTCAAGTGGTGAAAGCTCGTGTTAAAATAGGCTGTATTCTAGTACTGATGGACCTGTGTATTTGTTTAATAAGATAGAAAACGCACTATACTTTTTAATAAAATATGGGCACTGAAGAGGGCGCCAGAGTTTTATTCGTATTTGATAGCACGACTACCAACCTCGAATAGAGTTTAAACTTAGAGTAGTATATGGAGGGGTCATGAAAGTAAACGGTAGACAAGCAATAACTAATAGAACAGACTGGCAAAGCCAGCAGAAGAAAGTGTTGCATGGACGAAAGGGTTTTGGAATGCTATAGCACCTACAAAACTTGGCTGCAGCCAGTGAAATTGTAACTCATTGGATGCAAAACGTGATGAGCAAATAAATATGAATATTAAAGGATACACGTAAATGAGCCCTTCTTTTGTCACTAATGCGAATATGTTCAAAGCCTGGTCATATGCAATAGAGGCAGGCTTTGCAGGAAATCCAATGTTAGAGAACTAAAGACAATTATCCGGTTTAACGAATTATATACCATGTTAATTTTGTAGTGGCTTCCTATTACTTCTATGTTGTCTTGCTTTCGTCGCAT